CCCCCCCCCCCCCCGGGCCCCCCCCCCCCAAAAAACCCCCCCCAAACCCCATTTTAAAAATTTTTTTTTTTCAAAAATTTTTTTTTTTTTTTTTTTTGGAAAAATTTTTTTTGTTTGGGGGGGTTTAAAAAAAACCCCCTTTTTCCCCCCAAAAAATTTTAAAAATTTTAAAAAAACCCCCGGAACTTTTTAAAAACCCCCCCTTTTTAAAATATTTTTTTTTAAAAAAAGGGGGGGGTTTTATTTTTTTTGGTTTTTAAACCCTAAAAATTTTTTAATTTTTAAAAAAAAATTAAAGGGGGCCCCCCCTTTTTCCCCCTTTTTTTTTTTTTCCGGGTTTTTTTTTTTTTTTTCCCTTTTTTTTTCCCCCCCCCCCCCTTTTTTTTTTTTTTAAAAAAATTTTTTTGGGGGGCCCGGGGGGGCCCCCCCCGGGGGGGGGCCCCCCCGGGGGGGCCCCCCCCCCGGGGGGGGGGGCCCCGGGAAAGGGGAAAAAGGGGGGAAAAAAAGGGGGGGCCCCCCCCCCCAAAAAAAAAAGGGGGGGGGTTGGGGGAAAAAAAGGGGGGGATGGGAAAAAAAACCCCCCCGGGGCCCCCCCCCCGGGGGGGGGGGGGGGGCCCCCCAAAAATAAAAACCCCCCCCCCCCCCCCCCCTTTTTTTTTCCCCCCCCCCCCCCCCGAGGGGGTTTTCCCCCCCCGGGGGCCCCAAAAAAAAAAGGGGGGGGGGGGGGGGGGGGAAAAAAATTTTAAAAAAAGGGGGGGGGGGGAAGGGGGGGGGGGAAGGGGGGGGGGGGGGGGGGGGGAAGGGGGGGGGGGGGGGGGGGGGGGGGTTTTTCCCCCCCCCCCGGGGTTTGGGGAAAAAAGGGGGGGAAAAAAACCCCCCCCCCCCTTTGGGGGGCCGCCCCCGGGGGAGGGGAAAAAAGGGGGGCCCCCCCCAAAAAAAAGGGAAAAAAGGGGGGGGGGGCCCCCCCGGGGGGGGGGGAAAAAAAAAAAAAAAAGGGGGAAAAAGGGAAAAGGGGGGAAACCAAAAAAGGGGGGGGGAAAAAAAAGGGGGGGAAAAAAGGGGGGGGGGTTGGGGGGGAAAAAGGGGGAAAGGGGGCCCCCCCCCCCGGGGGGGGGGGGGGAAAAAAAAAAGGGGGGGGGGGGGGGGGGGGGCCCCCCCGGGGGGGGGGGGGGCCCCCCGGGGGGGGCCCCCCCGGGGGGGGGGGCCGGGGAAAAAAAAAAGGGGGGCCCCGGGGGCCCCCGGGGGGAAAAAAAAAAAAGGGGGGGGGGGAAAAAAACCCCCGGGGGGGGGGGGGGGGGGGGGGGGGGGGGGGGGGAAACCCGGGGCCCGGGCCCAAAAAAAAACCCCCCCCCCCCAAAAAAAAAAAAAAAAAGGGGGATTGGGGGGGGGGCCCCCCCGGGGGGGGGGGGGGGGGGCCCCCTTGGGGGGAAAAAAAAAAAGAAGGGGGAAAAGGGGGAAAAAAGGGGGGGGAAAAAAAGGGGAAAAAAAAAAGGGGGGGGGGGCCCGGGGTTTCCCCCCTTGGGGGGAAACCCCCCGGGGGGGGGGGGGGGGGGGGAGGGGGGAAAAAGGGGGGGCCCCCCCCCAAAAAAAAGGGGGAAAAGGGGGGGTTTAAAACCCGGGGGTTTTGGGGGGGGGGGGGAAAGGGGAAAAAAAAGGGGGGGGGGGAAAAAGGGGGAAAAAAAAACCCCCCCCCCCCGGGGGGGGGAAAAAGGGGGGGGGGAAAAAAAAGGGGGGCCCCCCGGGGGGGGGGGGGAAAAAAAATTTTTAAAAAAAAAAAAAAAGGGGGGGGGGGGGAAAAAAAAGGGGGGGGAAAAAAAAAGGGATAAAAAAAAAAAGAAAGACAAAAAAAAAAGAAAAGGGGGAAAAAAAAAAAAGGGGAAAAAAAAAGAAAAAAAAAAAAATTTAAAAAAAAAGAGGGGAGGAAAAAGGGGGGGGGAAAAAAAAGGGGAAAAAAAAAAAGGTTTGGGGGGCCCCCCCCCCCCGGCCCCCCCGGGGGGGGGGGGGCCCCCCTTTTGGGGGGGGAAAAAAAAAAAAGGGGGGGGGGGGGTTTTTTCCCCCAAAAGGGGGGGGGGGGGGCCCGGGGGGGGGAAAAAGGGGGGGGGGGGGGGGGGGAAAAAAGGGGGGGGGGGGGCCCCCCCCCCCAAAAAAAAAAAAGGGGGGGGGGGAAAAAAAAAAAAAAAAACCCCCCCCCCCCCAAAAGGGGGGGGGAGGAAAAAGGGGGGGGGGGGGTTGGGGGGGAAAAAAAAAAACCCCCCCCCCCGGGGGGGGGGCCCCGGGGGGGGGGGGGCCCCCCCCCCCCGGGGGGGGGGGGGGGGGGGGGTTTAAAAAACCCCCCGGGGAAAACCCCCCCGGGGGGGAAAAAAGGGGGGGGGGAAAAACCAAAAACCCCCCCCCCCCGGGGAAAAAAAAAAAGGGGGGGGGGGGACAAAGGGTTAAAAAAAGGGGGCCCCCCCCCCTGGGGGGGGAAAAAAGGGGGGGGGCCCCCCCCCGGGGGGGGGGGGGGGCCCCCCCCCCCCCAAAAAAAAAAAAAAAAACCCCCCCCCCCCCAACCCCCCAAAAAAAGGGGGGAAAAAAGGGGGGGGAAAAAAAAGGGGGGCCGGGGGGGGGGGAAAAAAAGGGAAAAGGGGGGGGGGAAAAAAAAAAAGCCAAGGGGAGGGGGCCCCCCGGGGGGGGAAAAAAAAAAAGGGGGGGGCCCCCGGGCCCCCCCCCTTTTTTAAAAAAAAAAAAGGGGGGTTTTTTTTGGGGGGGAAAAAGGGGGGGGGGGGGGAAAAGGGGGGGGAAGGGGGAAAAAGGGGGGGGGGGGGGGGAAAACCCCGGGGGGGGGAAAAAAAAAAAAAAAAAAAGGGGGGCCCCCAAATTTTGGGGGGCCCCCAAAAAAAAAAAGGGGGGGGGGGGGGGGGAGGGGGGGGGGGGAGGGGGGGGGAGGGGGGAAAAACCCCGGGGGGGGGGTTTGGGGGGGGGCCCAAAAAAGGGGGGGGGGGGAAAAAAAAAGGGGGGGGGGGAACCCCAAAAATTAAAAAAAAAAAGGGGGGGGGGGGAAAAAAAAGGGGAAAAAAAGGGGGGGGGGAGAAAAGGGGGCCCCAAAACCAAAAAAAAAAGAGGGAGGAAAGGGAAAAGGAAAAAAAGGGGGAAAAAATGGGGGTTTGGGGGAAAAAAAAAAAGGGGGGGAAAAAAAGGGGGGGGGGAAAAAAAGGGGGGGGGGGGAAGGGGGGGAGGAAAAAAGGGGGGGAAAGGGGGAAAAAAGGGGGAAAAAAAAAAATTTTTAAAAAAAATTTTCCCCCCGGGAAAAAGGGCCGGGAAAAGGGGGGGGGAAAAAAAAGGGGGGGGGGGGGAAAAAAAAAAGGGGAAAAAAAAAGGGGAAAAAAGGGTTTTTAAAAATTTTTTTTTGTTTTTTTTATTTTTTCCCCCCTTTTTTCCCCCCCCCGGGGGGTTTAATTTTTAAAAAATTTTAAAAACCGGGGCCCAAAATTTTCGGCCCCTTTTAATTTTTAAAAAGGGGGAAATTGAAAAAACCCTTTTTTCCCCCCCAAAAAAACCCCTAGCCTTTTGGGGGCCCCCCCAAAAAAAAAAGGGGGGGTTTTTTTTTTTAAAAATTTAAAACAAAAAATTGGGGGGAAAAAAAAAGGGGTTTTTTTAAAAAAAAATTTTTGGGGAAAAAATTTTTTTAAAAAAAAAATTTTGCCTTTTTTGGGGGGGGGGGAAAAATTTTAAAATTTTTTTTAAAAAAATTTTTTTTTTTTTTTGGGGGGGAAAAAAAAAATTTTTTTAAAATTTTTTTTTAAAAAGGGTTTTGGGGTTTTTTAAAAAAAAGGGGGTTTTTTTTTTTTTTTGGGTTTTAATTTTTTTTAAAAATTTTTTTTTTAAAAAAATTTTTCCAACTAAAAAATTTTTTTTCCCAAAAAAAAAAAAAAGGGGGCCCCCCGGGGGGGGGAAGGGGGCCCCCCCCCCGGGGGGTTTTTTTTTAAAAAAGGGGGTTTAAAAAAAATTTTTGGGGGGAAAAAAAGGGGGAGGAAAAAGGGGGGGGGCCGGGGGCCCGGGGGGGGGGGGGGGGGGGGGCCGGGGGCCCCGGGGGGGAAAAGAAAGGGGGGGGGAAAAAAAGGGGGGGGGGGGGGGGGGGGGGGGGGGGGGGGGGGGCCCCGGGGGGGGGGGGAAAAAGGGGGGGGGGGGGGGAAAAAAGGGGGGGGGAAAAAAAAGGGGGGGGGAAAAAACCCAAAGGGGGGGGGAGAAACCCGGGGGGGGGGAAAAACCCGGGGGGGGGGGGGGAAAAAAAAGGGGGGGGGGGGCCGGATCTCATACCTGGTAAAAGTAGTGCACCATAGCCTTTTGGGGGCCCTAAGCAACATTTTGTTTAGGTTTTTGAGTACATTTCCTCCAAATATACACTTTGCAATGGGAAGACAAAATATTGCAGTTTTTAAACAAGTTTGTTGCAATTCTACCATGGGGTGGAGAGAAGATTTTACAATTATAGAAAACATTTCATGCAATTTTACACATTTTGCCATGGGGTGGAGAGAAGAATTTGCAGTTTTAAAGATAATTTCCTGCAGTTCTAAACATTTTGCCATGGGGTTGAGTGAAAACTGCAGTTTGAAAGCTAATTTCCTTAAATTCTACACATTTTGCCATGGGGTTGAAAGAAAATGTTGCAGTTTTAAAGCTAATTACTGGTAGTTCTGCACATTTTGCCATGGGATGGAGATAAATGTTTTCAGTTTTGAAGCTAATTTCCTGCAATTCTACACATTTTGCCATGACTAATGCCATGTTAAGATGATATCTGAATGAGAGTGACTAACAAAATCAATGGGGGCTCACTGCAGGTCAAGGCCCCTGGGCACGTGCCCTTCGTGCCTGGTCCGTAATTCGATCATGATTACTACAAGTTAGCTGGCTCTGGAGAAGGCCAGCAGGAGAGGCCAAGGAGGCAACAGGCATGGGCAGAGAACCAGCAGGGGGGGCCAGAGAACCAGCAGGGGGGGGGGGGGCAGAGAACCAGCATGGGGGGCCAGAGAACCAGCAGGGGGGGCCAGAGAACCAGCAGGGGGGGCAGAGAACCAGCAGGGGGGGCCAGAGAACCAGCAGGGGGGGGGGGCCAGAGAACCAGCAGGGGGGGCCAGAGAACCAGCAGGGGGGGGCAGAGAACCAGCAGGGGGGGCCAGAGAACCAGCAGGGGGGGCCAGAGAACCAGCAGGGGGGGGCCAGAGAACCAGCAGGGGGGGCCAGAGAACCAGCAGGGGGGGGGGCAGGGGGGGGGGGGCCAGAGAACCAGCAGGGGGGGGGGGCCAGAGAACCAGCAGGGGGGGCCAGAGAACCAGCAGGGGGGGGGCAGAGAACCAGCAGGGGGGGCCAGAGAACCAGCAGGGGGGGCCAGAGAACCAGCAGGGGGGGCCAGAGAACCAGCAGGGGTGGGCAGAGAGCCAGCAGCGGGGGGCAGAGAGCCAGACACCTAACATTCCATCAGTTTGCTACAATGTGTGACATGTTATATTAGAGAGTCATCTATACACATCTATTTTAGACCATAGGAGAAATATTAGATTGAAATAGCTTCAACTGAGTGCCTTTTGGGGAGTTTAACTTTTATTTCACCTCATTTTAACATTCTGCCATAAAGAGCACATGTTCAACTTAATAAAAAACATGTTTTCCCCATCTGGAGTAAGAAATACATACCATAGTAATTGCCTATTAAGTGCCAAATAAAGTAACAGGGTTGACTGTAACAGGGTTGACTATTTCATTTTGAATCAACCAGAAATCCCTGTGTGACAGGGGGAATGGAATGCAAGCTTGCCAAACAAATGTAAATTGTTGAAATCATTCTAGACCTTCTATCTATGGGTAACAGGGTTGTAATGTTATGCTTGACCCACCCAGTTGTGATTTTAGCATGTCAATGTTGGTGGGGCAAACTCCGGCATTTTTTTCCCTTCCAGATTCATGCCAGCAAAGCCACAACACAACACTAAACAATACATTGATTGCACTATAACGGTGACAAACGGTGCCCACAAACTGATAGAGCCTACATAAAGCTGTCCCAACTGCAGAACTGCAGGGTTTTTGTTTATCCACCCGCCTCTTGAGGATTAAAAAATGTATGCACTCACTAACTGTAAGTCGCTCTGGATAAGAGTGTCTGCTAAAGAATGTAAAATGTAAAATTCTTGACCACAAGTTCTCAATGGGATTAAGGTCTGGGGAGTTTCCTGGCCATGGCTGTGTTCTTAGGCAAAATTGTGAGTGAGCCCACTCCCTTGGCTGAGAAGCAACCCCACACATGAATGGTCTCAGGATGATTTACTGTTGGCATGACACAGGACTGATGGTAGCGCTCACCTTGTCTTCTCCGGACAAGCTTTTTTCCGGATTACCCAAACAATCGGAAAGGGGATTCATTAGAGAAAATGACTTTACCCCAGTCCTCAGTAGTCCAATCCCTGTACCTTTTGCAGATTATCAGTCTGTTCCTGATGTTTTTCCTGGAGAGAAGTGGCTTCCTCGCTGCCCTTCTTGACACCAGGCCATCCTCCAAAAGTATTTGCCTCACTGTGCGTACAGATGCACTCACACCTGCCTGCTGCCATTCCTGAGCAAGCTCTGCACTGGTGGTGCCCCGATCCCACAGCTGAATCAACTTTAGGAGACGGTCCTGGAGCTTGTTGGACTTTCTTGGGCGCCCTGAAGCCTTCTTCACAACAATTGACCCTATCTCCTTTAATTTCTTGATGATCCGATAAATGGTTGATTTAGGTGCAATCTTACTAGCAGCAATATCCTTGCCTGTGAAGCCCTTTTTGTGCAAAGCTATGATGACGGCACGTGTTTCCTTGCAGGTAACCATGGTTAACAGAGGAAGAACAATGTTTCAAGCACCACCATCCTTTTAAAGCTTCCAGTCTGTTATTATAACTCAATCAGCATGACACTCGTTGTCCTCGTCAACACTCTCACCTGTGTTAACTTGGAATTTCCTTGTGGGCAAATTTTGTCAGCTCCGATGGGGAAAATACGCTTGAAACGGTCATCCAACTCAGAATTCCAAGTCGTGAACTCAGGCCTCTTTCTAGAGCTCCGACCTGAAGATCACTGACGGGCTGATTCAACCTTGTTTTTTCCGAGTTCCCAGTTGTCTTGAAAGCACCCTAAATCCAGAGAATGGCAGACTTTGATGACAAAGTTTGATGACAAAATTTGCCCACAAGGACCGCCGTGCCACCTTCCTCTTCAAATGAACACAGCATGATGTTGACATGTTCAGTCCAATCAAAGCTACGGTAGATATAACATTATTTGACGTCATTTTATCTGTGGCCAATGACCTTGAGCCTTCTTGTATGGGCACTTCTAATGTAACTTTATAGCAGCACCCAAGGGGCTTGAATTTCCGAGCTCTCCCCATAGATTTTGCGGTGACGTAGTGTCCCCATGAGTATCAGAACACTGAGCCAATCACGGCGCAACTAGAGAACATTTCCAACCCCTACGCTCCATATTTTCCGCTGGCTGCCCCACCACCACAGAAAGCTCTGAGCCATGCTGAAATACCTGCATTTTAGAGCTGCCTTACTCAAGAAAGATACCATGTTTATATGCTGCTTTATTAACTCAATTATATATTTTTTTTACATTGTTTGCTAAACTGAAATGTGAAAAGAATTAATGCCAGAATTACATGCAAAACAGGCAAACTGGGTTTTTTTAACAGGTGGGGCTCCGCTCCTCCTGCCCTGAATGACGGGTCGCCACTGCTTAAAGCAACAAAAATAAAAGTAGGGTTGTTGGTCAGGCGTATAACGAACATCTAGGAAGCCAAAGGTTGCATGTTCAAATCTCATCAAGGACAACTTAGCTAATTAGCAACTACTTACTACTTTTAGCTACTTTGCTACTAATTAGCATGTTAGCTAACCCTTTAACCTAACTCCTAACCCTAACCTTAACCCCTAGCCTAGCTAATGTTAGCGTTAGCCACCATCCACCTAGCTAACGTTAGCCACAACAAATTGGAATTAGTAATATATCATACGTTTAGCAAATTCGTAATATTTTGTACAAATTTTAATTGATAACATATCATACTAAATAGATGATGGCCATCCACAAATTAATCCATACCATATGAAATGTAACATATTATACTAATTGGTTGGTCTCAGATTTACATTTACTATGTTATGTCTACCCCTGAGTCCAGGTTGCAGCGACCACTCTGCTAATCATCCTAAAATCTCATAATAAATTAAGTGGTGTTTTTGGTCTAAACTCATTAAGTAGGATTAAGCGCCGTCACAAGGGCAGCATTTTCTGAGCTATAATGACCAAGACGCACCTCCAACAACACATAAAACCTGACATATTTCTGGCCAGAAAACTATGACAATTTCTCTCAAAGTGGCATATTCGAAAAAGAAAATACTTCTGCTGTGTAAACACATTGATTCTCATTGCAAAATAGGCTCAGGATAACTCCTGATATATTTTTATTGTATTTATTAAACCTTTATTTAACTAGGTAAGCCAGTTGAGAACAAGTTCTCATTTACAACTGTGACCTGGCCAAGATAAAGCAAAGCAGTGTGATAAAAACAACATCACAGAGTTACATATGGGGTAAACAAAACATAAAGTCAAAAATACAACAGAAAAGATATATACAGTGTGTGCAAATGTAGCAAGTTATGGAGATAAGGCAATAAATAGGCCATAGTGCAAAATAATTACAATTTAGTATTAACACTGGAATGAAGTGCAAGAGATGATGTGCAAATAGAGATACTGGGGTGCAAATGAGCAAAATAAATAACAATATGGGGATGAGGTAGTTGGGTGGGCTAATTTCAGAATGGCTGTGTACAGGTGCAGTGATCGGTAAGCTGCTCTGACAACTGATGCCTAAAGTTAGTGAGGGAGATAAGAGTCTCCAGCTTCAGAGATTTTTGCAGTTCGTTCCAGTCATTGGCAGCAGAGAACCTGAAGGAATGGCGGCCAAAGGAGGTGTTGGCTTTGGGGATGACCAGTGAGATATACCTGCTGGAGTGCATACTACGGGTGGGTGTTGCTATGGTGACCAATGAGCTAAGATAAGGAGGGGATTTGCCTAGCAGTGATTTATAGATGACCTGGAGCCAGTGGGTTTGGTGACGAATATGTAGCGAGGGCCAGCCAACAAGAGCGTACAGGTCACAGTGGTGGGTAGTATATGGGGCTTTGGTGACAAAACGGATGGCACTGTGATAGACTACATCCGATTTGCTGAGTAGAGTGTTGGAGGCTATATTGTAAATGACATTGCCGAAGTCAAGGATCGATAGGATAGTCAGTTTTACGAGGGCATGTTTGGCAGCATGAGTGAAGGAGGCTTTGTTGCGAAATAGGAAGCCGATTCTAGATCTAACTTTGGATTGGAGATGCTTAATGTGAGTCTGGAAGGAGAGTTTACAGTCTAACCAGACACCTAGGTATTTGTAGTTGTCCACACTCTAGGTCAGACCCGCCGAGAGTAGTGATTCTAGTCGGGTGGGCGGGTGCCAGCAGCGTTCGATTGAAGAGCATGCATTTAGTTTTACTAGTTTTTAAGAGCAGTTGGAGGCTACGGAAGGAGTGTTGTATGGCATTGAAGCTCGTTTGGAGGTTTGTTAACACAGTGTCCAATGAAGGGCCAGATGTATACAAAATGGTGTCGTCTGCGTAGAGGTGGATCTGAGAGTCACCAGCAGCAAGAGCGACATCATTGATATACACAGAGAAAAGAGTCTCCCCGAGAATTGAACCCTGTGGCACCCCCATAGAGACTGCCATAGGTCCAGACAACAGGCCCCCGATTTGACACATTGAACTCTATCTGAGAAGTAGTTGGTGAACCAGGCGAGGCAGTCATTTGAGAAACCAAGGCTATTTAGTCTGCCAATAAGAATGCGGTGGTTGACAGAGTCGAAAGCCTTGGCCATGTCGATGAAGACGTTGTGGGTGTGTCTCTTCACAGTCCGCGCTGTTCCATAAAGTGTAGTTTAATCAGTTTTTTAAATCTTATTTTACTGCTTGACTGAGTTACATGATGTGGAATAGAGTTCCATGTAGTCATGGCTCTATGTAGTACTGTGCGTTTCCCGTAGTCTGTTCTGGACTTGGGGACTGTGAAGAGACCTCCGGTGGCATGTCTCATGGGGCATGTGTGCCAGAATTCCAAACAGACAGCTCGGTACATTTAGCTTGTCTACACCTCTTTAAAAAACAAGCAGTGATGAAGTCAATCTCTCTTCCACTCTGAGCCAGGAGAGACTGACATGCATGTCATTAATGTTAGCTCTCCGTGTACTTTTAAGGGCCAGCCGTGCTGCCCTGTTCTGAGCCAACTGTAATTTTCCCAAGTCCCTCCTTGTGGCACCTGACCACCTGACAAAACTAGCGCCTGTAGGACCTGCTTTGTTGATACTGTTGTTAAAAAGGC